GAGGCTTTCTACTCCCTTAAAGATTTACACCCTCGGAAACCCTGTTCAGGGTCACTATGGGTCGGAACCGACTCAACAGCACTTAACAACAACAACAAATGTGTTGGAGAGAAAAATGCTGAGCTAGTTTGTTTTTGCTGTTTCTCCTTTTTAACATGTTAAATTTGAGGTGATGAGGAAACATCCATGTGGTAGTTGGGGAAGTGATACAGTAGCTGAGGAGAAAGGCTTGGCTGAAGATGTATACTGAGAGGTTGGATCCACTACATAAGGCTGTGAGAGTGAACTGAATGTCATGAGGGAGAAAGCAGAAAGGCAGAGAGGAAGGCATGAAGGAAAATAAGCAAACCCACATCAGGCATTTAAAGAAGTTTTTAATTTCTTATGGTTTTATGCCATCACTTATATCATCATTATACCATCAAATTGATAATTAATAGTCTCCCCCCAACACGCATACACCAACAACTAAAAAGTCTAATCTGGTTGGGAGGAGAGGAGAAACCCAGTTGGAGTAAACAAATTAAAGTTAACACTTCAAAATAAATACTAGAAAAATGACTCAAGGAAGTTCTTGATAAATCACACAAACTGTAATTTCTTGTGTAAGAACGAGTGTTGGGGTAGACACCTCCAAGCTAGGGCGTTTCAGGAAAGTTTTACAAAGGAAGTGAGTTTTGAATGGGTCAGGATCAGGGAGGTTGAGTTGGAAGTCATTCCAGGCATTGAAAGGGCATAGCACACACAGAAGGGAGGAACCCATGAGAGACACTGTGTGAGTGAACCAGTGTGGCAGGAGAAAGGAGTCACAATGGGATAGGGGTGAAGGCGGGGATAGCTGATAAGGTTGGAAAGGCAGGTTGGAACCAAATTGTGGCAAGTTTTATGTAACATCTACAGGAGTTATGCCTTTCTCTCTTGTGCAAGGGAAGAATCATTGAATTGTAAGCACTTGCGTGACATGATTGAATTTAAATTTTTGGAAGTTAATCTGATTGTGTTTTAAGGATGAAAACCATAGAATTCAGGAATCATCCAGTTCAAATCCTTTTCACAGATGAGGTATAGGGTGATTAGGAGCCTTTTCTAACAGAAACTGTAGAATTTACTAAGATCCTGAACACTAATCTGATGCGCTTTCTATAATTTCTAAAAATTTAAATTAGTCACCATATAGCCTTCTTGGAATCCTGATGTGGTGCTGTGGGTTAATGCGCTGGACTGCAAAGTTGGTTTGAACCACAAGGTTCAAACTTAACAGACACTCTTAGGAAACCCTATATGGGATTGCAATGGGTCAGAACCGATCCAAGGGCACTTAACAACAACAAGAACATAGCCTTCTTGGGAGTTCCTGGGTGGTGCAAATGGGTACCATGCTTGGCTATTGATCAAAAGGCTACAGGTTCCAGTCTACCCAGAGGCACCTCACGGGAAAGGGCTGGTTTTAAAAAAATCGGTCATTGAAAACCCTCTGCAGCATAGTTCTACTGTAACACACATGGGGTTTGACTCAGTGGCAAATGGATAACTGATTGCAGGGGTAATCAAGATTCTGGAGTCCTGGTGTGGTGCTGTAGGATAAGCACTGGTCTGCTAACCTCAAGGTCAGTGGTTCAAATTCACCACTGACCTTGGAAATCCTATACAGGATTGTTAGGAGTTGTAACTGACTCGACAGCAGTTAACAATAACGATTTAGATTCTAAGAGCTAAATTTGGAAATGGGTCCAGAAAATAGATCTGAAACAGTTTATTATATTTCTGGAGCAGATGATTCAGGGTATCAATTCCAACAGGGATGCAAATGGGAGACAGTCAGTGGAGGTCTAAATGGAAGGTTCTAGCTAGAGCCCAAATTCGGGAAACTCAGGAGTTCAGATTTATGTTCATACTCAAGATATATAGGAATCCTCATTAGTTCCAGGGCCTAAAGATTGATTTTCAACTCTTGGGGAAAGCTGAGCTGAGGATGGGGTAGAATAGCATGAGGTAAGATCACTCAGATCTATGGGGAAGAGATAATGAAAACATTACAGAGAGTGGGCTAGAGTCAGAGTATTAGAAGCAAGCAGCTTCTTATAAACTTTCAAGGAGTCCTGGTGCAGGGCTGTGGGTTAATGAGCAAGCTCGTTTGAGCTGCAAGGTCGGTGGTTCAACCTCACCAGCTGCTTCTTGGAAACCCTATACAGGGTAGCTGTGAGTCAGAACAGACTCGAGGGCACTTAACAACAACAACAACATAAACTCTGAAAGGGGATCCTCCGAAGAAAATGGCAGCATAGAAGGCAATGGAAAATGCTGAGAAAGCGATTAGGAGACCAATCTCTAACTACCACGAGGGGGCACCTCCAGTTCTAGGACAGCCTTGTTGATTTACTGGTCTTGGCCTGGGGTGGAGGAAGGAAGAAGACAATGGAGTAGAGTCCAGTTTGGTTTGAGAGGTGGAGGAAAGAAGTTTGTAACAGGCATTCAAATGTACAAGAGTAATTAACCAGTAACTAAATCTCACCCTTTGCTTCCTGGTATTAACATTCTAGGCACTGTTATTAGCAGTGACAGGCTATGCAGAGGTTAAACAATAAAAGGCAAAGGCAAGAATGAGAAGAAAAATAATTAGGAAAAAAGTGGGGAGAGAAAAGGAAATTATATAATAGATTAGAAGCAAAAGTGAAGAAAAACAGTAATACTTTAAAAAAAAAAAAAAGGTGAGGAAAATGTGGAAAGTGAAATTGATTGGCGAGGAAATGAAGAAAGACAGGAGAAGAAAGTTCAGAAAACATTTAATCTGGTTATGTGATTAATCCCATAGAGGCTTGTCACCCTTTTCACATCTCATATATTAATGGAATGACTATACTGTAGCTGTGCATTAAAAACACACAAAAATATAGTCTTTGCTCTTTGGGGGCATTTGGATGCATGCTTATTTTTGTCAAAACTTAGATGGTAGAATTTGAGGGTAAAAGAGCAAAACTCTTGAGTTGTTTCTATGCTAGAGAAACAGCAATAATAGACTATGAATATTTTGAGATAAATTGATTCACTAAAGATACACTTACGTATACATTTTAAGAATTTATGTTTTCAATTTGTTGTTGTTGTTATGTGCCATGGAGTCGGTTCCGACTCATAGTGACCCTTTACAGGATTTCCCAGGCTATAAATCTTGATGGGAGTAGAAAGCCTCATCTTTCTCCCGTGGAATAGCTGGTACTTTTGAACTGCTGACTCTGAGGTTCGCAGCCCGATTCATAACAACAGGTTATTAACATGATTAAGAATAAGGTAAGGAAGAGGTACAGGGAGAATTACCCAGACAGTCCTCTTCAAACTGCATCAAATAAATTCGTTCATCATGTTTGTCATTTCCTCCATATTGTATGACTGCTCAAAAGTAGGAGAGGATCTTTGATTCAACCAGTGTGCACTTAGTGCTGGTGGCATAATTTTGGTAAGTGTCAAAGACTGCTACTTGAGAGGAAGAGTATAGAACCCAGCTAAGGCCCTTTGAGACAAGAGTACGTTGTTAAGAGTCACTCACAGCGATCCTGTATAGTGTTTCCAAGTACAATGTAGTATTAAATAATTGCAATGACCATCAGATGTCTGGGTATTCACTGTAGTTTCAAAAAACTTCTAGTTTGTTTTGGAGGTGATTATTTCCCTTTCAGGTTTGGGAGAATTCTAACGTGCTATACTAGTATTTACCATTTGTAAAGCCATAGGCTCAACACCCTACTAGATCACATTCCCTTAGCCAAGACGTGCAGGTCTCCACCCCCACCAGAATACACTCCCGACTCTGGATCGCATTTTCCCCATCCCCCCAGCTTTCTAACCACATTGTGCGTACTCTTCCAGGCAGCTTTTCAACCGCGAGGGCAGTTGCAGTGCTCCAAGCCTGTCTTCTCTAGGGCGGTCACACGTGTCCATTCCCTGGGGGGGATCCCTCTTCCCGCATGGCTGCTGATTGGTGCCTCCCCCTACCCCACCCTTCCCGCTGCACACCAGCCTCCATCCTACTTAGTTCCAGCTTAACCAGCCCCACCACCTTCCTTCCATGGAGAAAAGAGCCACTTTAGATCTCCTTGAAGCACCGTTCTTGGAAGGAATAAGCATTAAAGAACAGGTGGAAACCACTTAATTTCTCTAGGCTACATATTTCTGGGGTGGACATCTCACTCGTTCCCCTATACTACCACCAGCATCAATAATAACTGAACTCCCACACGTGCTAGTTTCTGGATCTAGCCCCTACCGAAAGCACCACCCAGCGGGCCCTTTAAAAGGACGCGACCACTAAGGCCAAGTGGGAGGTGGGAGAGACCCTTATTAACTTCCCACAAAAAAGTCATTGAACTCTTCAGTCCCAACTACCTGAAAAGCGAGGTATATCAAATAGTAGTTCATGAAGGTGCACATCGCTCCCTTAAAGTCACATCCCCCCTCTTTCTTGGGGTGCTCTGTATCCCTTCCCCTCCCCCCTTCTGGTTCAATGCAGCCGTCCGGGCTGGGGGTGGAAAGTGGGGGCGGGGGTTGTTGTTGTGGTGAGGGACAGCCCCGCCCCCTCCTCGTGTGCGGCCCCTCCCCCAGGCCCTCTGTTCGGCCCCCCTCCCCCCCCAGCCCCATCTGTTTTCCCCAGCGGTGAGATGATTATATTGTATGGGACTGGGGGCGGCTGCAGCCGCAGTAGCAGGATGGGGCCAGCGAGCGGACCCCGCCGGCAGCCGGAGCAGCAGCCGCCTCAGTAACTCGGGCCCTCGAGCCGACGCCCCCCGCCCGGGTCGCCCGCCCTCAGCTCATGCATAAGCCCAGCGGCGGCAGCAGCGGGAGTAGCAGCCGCCGCCGCCGCCGCCACTACCACCCCCGCCCGACTAACTGAGGCGCCGCGCCGCGGCGGGAGTCCGAGCCGAGCGAGCCGAGCGCCGGCAGCGTGGGGCCGCCGCGGCGCGCTTCGAGCTCGGGGCCGCCGTCACCGCCACCGCCGCGCCTGGGAGATGTGCCCGGAGGAGGGCGGCGCGGCTGGGCTGGGCGAGCTCCGCTCCTGGTGGGAAGTCCCGGCCATCGCACACTTCTGCTCGCTCTTTCGCACCGCGTTCCGCCTGCCCGACTTTGAGATCGAAGTGAGTGCCGCGAGGAGCGGGCAAGGCGGCGCAGCCTGCGCCCCTTTCTCCCTCTGCCCCACTCGGGAGTCCCGGGAACATCATGAAGGAGGGAGCTGGGGAGCGAGAGACTTTTGCCTGTAATCGGGGGCCGGGAGAAGGGATCCGAGGTGGGGGCGCGAGGCGTGGAAGGGCAGAGGGAAGGCGGGCGGGCGGGGGCTTTGCAAAGGACGCCAAGTGCGGGCGTCCGGGTTTGGGACGTTCTCTCGGGCGGCCGCGGTGCTCACCCGCAGCCTCAAGGAGAGGGCAAAGGGAGTAGCAGAAAGGAGGAGGGTGAGCCTCTGCTTTTGTAGGAGTGGGAATGGGGGGCAGCTCTCCCGGGAGTTCTCTGGAAGGAGAGGCTGAGTGTGTGAAGAAGAGTGCGTGCGCGCGCGCTCCCTTCCTTTCGGTGCCATTGAAGCGGCGAGCCAGCTGCTCCGGGCGGGGACGGGGTGCTTGCGGGCGAGGGGGCTCAGGGGTGGGGGGAGCCGGCGGTGGATTAACTCGGACCGCGGGTGGAGAGGCAGCCGCTGGTGCTTGGTTGGGGGAGGGGGCAGCTGTGCTGGGGAGAGACTCGCCCCCACTTTGGCGGGCGCCCTGAAGCGGGGAGTCGCACTTTGCAGACACCCGGAGGCCCGCGACTCTCGGGGGGCGCTTTGGGTGAACTTTGGGCTGGCGGAGATGGGGGCCTGGGCCGGGGGAGCGCTCTGCTCAGAGTCGCTCCGGCTCTGAGCCCTTACTCTGGGCTTCGAGGCTGTGGAAGGAAAGTTTGGGACTCCGTTATTCTTTTCCAGCTCCTTTCCTCGGAAAATACAGCCTTCTTTATTTGGGGAGCCCTTTGAGTTGATTTCGCCACCATTATCCCTTCGGGCGAGCGTGGTGGAAAGGGATGGCTTTTCTCACCAGGCGGAAGGTGCTTTCAAACTGGAGGCTTTGTGATAATTGAACTAAAATCAGAGGGTCCTAGTAGCAGGGATGGTGGCGGGAGTGTGAGGTCCGGAAGGCTTACGATGGCTAAAACAAGCTGGTAGCCCCACCAGCAAGCATCCTCCTTTCTTTTCTTTTTATTTTGGAAAGGGGATGTGAAATCTTTGATTGGTTGGCAGGTTGAACTACTTTCTCCCTTATGACACTATGTGTAATGATCACCTTTTGCCTTTGGACAAAGGTAAATGGAAATTATTTGTTGGTCAGTTTCTTCTTTTTAATTCTGCCAATGGCTTTGGCCGAAGGAGTAATCAAAATAATAATCACTCTTGATTGAGGAAATTGTTGTCGTTCCCTCCCCACCCCCACATAGGTTACTCTGCCATTTTCTGATTGATTTTACTCCCTAAGATTTTTGCTTTCACCTTTTATATTTAGATTTAGTCTTGTTTACTGAAATATCATTTACACCTGATCTGAATGAAATGTGGGAACATGCTCCTGTTGCTGAGTTAATGAAATAGGAAAAATAAAAAGATCAAAAGGTGGTGAGCCTGGAGAATGAAGAGGAATGTAGACTGATAAACTAGGGCCATTCAGTGGCTTTTAGCGATTCTTAGTTCCTTAAGCTGATTAAAACAATGTGATTAAATCTTAGGCTTTCCCATCTGTTTTTAGAAAGATTTATTAATAAGACACTTTGAGTAATATCACAGCATTTGTTTTCAGAGTTTGAAAGTGAATGTAACAAGCAAGATTTTGAATAAAAATGTTTTTGGGACTGCTTGGAAAATATCATAAGACAACTGTTTATATTGACATACTGACCAAAGGGAAACAGGGTCACAGAAACTAAAGGTTTGAGAATGTTAAAACTCAAGAGATGTTTAACAATTATTCTGATGTCCTGCGTTTTCTTTTAGTTGGTATAAAACTGTGACTAGGTTAATTATGTCATGCTGCTCAAAATGGTGTCTGTTGTGAGAGGTGTTGAGGCTTGTGACAATGCTATCTTGGATGCTGGTAAACTTGCCCTCTAGCCTTTTTCCTTCCTTGCAAAGTAATACAGTTGAGGTATTGCTGGGTTTAGGAATTTAAGAGTTTAAGACCCAACCCACAAATACTATGGAAAAACTCACCTCTCAAAATTCGTGTACATGTTCCCATTTTGTTGATTGAAAATTGGTGGTGGTGGTGGTGGTAGATGTGTGTCATGCAGTTGGTTCTGACTCAGGTGACCCTGTACCAGGTTTCTGAGGCTATAAATATTTACAGAAGCAGAAAGCCTCAGCTTTCTCTTGCAGAGCGGTTGGCGGATTCGAACTGCTGTCTTTGTGGTTACAGCCCAATGCTAACCCACCACGGTTCCTTTGATAGAGAAATGTTTCTGTTGTTAAGTGCCATCGAGTAAGTTACTACCCTTAGCAACCTGGTACATGGTTTCTGAGGAGCAGCTTGTGAGCTTGAACCACCTACCTTGTGGTTCAAACCAACTTTGCAGTCTAGCATATTAACCCACGGTGCCGTACCAGGACTCCTTGAAGCTCACCAGCCGCTCCTGAAAACCCTATACAGGATCATTATGAGTTGGAACTGACTCGACTGCACTTAACAACAGGAGCAGTGCGAGTAATCTATGAATAACAGAAATGTTTTGAGATGACTGTCTTTTTTGATTCTAGCGGTTTTTCTTTTTTGTTGTTAAAGTAAACGCTATTTGAAATATATGCAACGCGAATGAATATTTCTCCTTGGAAACTCTATACAGGGTTGCTATGGGTCAGAACTGACTTGATGGCATTTAACAACAACAAATATGTACACATATTTACAGGAATCCTGACGTAGCGCCATGGGATAAGCACTGGACCCTAGGGTTGGTTTGAACTGCAAGGTCAGTTTGAACCACAAGGTCGACTGTTCAAACTCACCAGCTGTTCCTTGGAAACCCTATATAGGTGTGCTATGAATTGGACCCAACTAGATGACACTTAGCAACAACAACAGTATTTACATATGTTAGGAACTACTCATACCTATATTATTTGGAGATGTTTCAGTAAAATGGATTATAGATGATAGTGACTTTTCCCCCTTGGAGTTCTGATATAATCATCCTTGTGTTAGGAGTGTTTAGAAATGGTTAATGTAGATTTTAACAGAGGTTTTCAGTGGTTATGAAAAAAAAAAAAATTAAATTGACAAGTTAATTTGTATTTTCGACTTCTAACAAGTTTGACTCTGATAGTTCAGAGCCCTCTGACAACACTTGTTAGTTTGGGTTCTGTATGTATAAATAAATTCTGTGTGTGTGCCTGCACACCCACTTAGGAGAAAGAAAAGATTATTATTTTTTTAAATCCAGTAATTGCCCTGACTGGTTAGGAAACAATCTCTTGGTTAGACTTTATGATGCATGAAAGACCCTTATAAAAAGGAAAAAACAAAACAAAAACAATTAAATGCAGAGTTGTACCTGTTAAGCCAGGTGGAAAGTCTCTACAAACTTAATTTACTGCAATTTAAAAGATAGCAGTGATGGATAATATCAAATGGTAGAAATTGGATATCAGCTTTTTTTAGGAAGCAAGTTTTCAGCTGTGGAAAAGAATTTCATTTTATCTTTGACCATCCAGCTGAACTCATGGGTTTATAGAAAATTTTTAGGAAGCTGAGTCCATAATGACTTGGGCTTCTATTTGTCTAAAGTGAAGCAATCTCTCAGATAGGTGAAGAGCTGGGAGGATTCAAGCAGCAATACTGCCAAAGGTCAAGACCTCCCACTTAGAGAATTTGTCTCCTAAGCGTGGGTATTTTAATTTTTGTCTGTAAAAACTTTATTATATATATTTTTAACTCTGTTAACCTTGAGTATGCAGGATTTCTGTGGAAGAGATTTGATTCTTGATTATAATGTGTGTTTAAAGATTTGTATGTTGCTCCCAACTGGCCTTTAAAGACGGATTCTGTAGTCATCAGACTGAAACTCTGTGAATGTACATGCACAGTGCTTTCAGTTCAGAATTCCTGCTTATAAAATGAATACATGAACATTATAGAAAGTTTGAAAATTAACGTAAATTATGGATAAAATAATGTAACTATAATCTCACTAAAGAGGCCTGGTGGCACAGTGAGCACAACTGGTAACTGAAAGGATGGTAGTTTGAACCCATCAACTACTCCGAGGGAGAAGGTGTGGCTGTCTGTTTCTGTTAAGATGACCTTTATAGAAAGATCTTTGTTGTTAAGTGCTGTCCAGTTAGTTCCTACTCATAGCAACCCTGTACAGGGTTTTCCAAGGAGCAGCAGGTGGGTTTGAACTGCTGATCTTGCAGTGCTGACCCTACAGGCCACACCTGAAAAGATTACATCTTTGGAAACCTTGCGGCGGGCCAGTTCTACTCCGTTGTACAAGGCTGCTATGTATGAGTTGGAATTGACTCAGGTGGCCATTGATTCTGCCTCATAGGTTTTTCTAAACGAAATCAGATTGCAAAATGTTTTCTCCCCTGCTTTTGTTTGGGGGTTTATAATCCCACCGTTGTTAACATTGTATCCCACCTATGACTCTGGGATAAATATTTTAGCATACTGAGGAATTTTTGTATGTGCTCAAAGTGTATTTTTATGAAAGGTTAGGTGGTGGTTTTATTTTGCACAGGTGGAGATTGAATTATACTGAATGTGCTTTGAACCCACCAGGTGCTCTGTAGGAGAAAGATGAGGTTGCTTCTATAAAGATAAGATAGTCGAGGAAACCCTATATAGACTGAGACACTATAAGGTAGAATCAATTTGGTGACTGTGGGGAATGGACTTAACCATGAGCTGGAGTAATTTGTTAAAGAAAGCTATAACTGGCCTTGCCTCAGATTATCTGTTAGTATTCCAGAACCAGCACTTATAAAGCAATTCATTTAAATGATGTTTTATGTAATTAACATTCTAGCAGGTGTTTTTGTGATTCGATTCAAACTCAGTAGCGACCCTTTAGAACAGAGTAGAACTCTGCCTCATAGGTTTTTCTAAACTAAATCAGATTGCAAAACCTT